ATCTGTCTCGGAACTAAACAACCAGAATGAACATAGTATTTCTCAAATCATCATGGCAGTAAGGAAATCAAACCTCGAGGCAGCTTCCAACTTAGAAAGAGGTTCCTTGCCTCCAGGCCAGAAATTTTTCCATCCCTGTCTGTGTCCACAGCCATAAATACTTTGCTGTACTTCTGATAATCAGCCCGGGTCATTCTTGGCCAAGGAGTCTGAGACTGACTAGAACGAGAATTTCCAGCTGCATTAGGATTTGCAGCAGCACTTGGCACTAAGACCTGTTGGTTTGGTCTCCCAGTCAACTGAGCTTGCTGATGCTGATTTACTGGTTGCTGTGGAAGTGCAACTTGTGAAACAATTGGGCTGGCCTTTACTGGATGTTGGAGCCCTGCAGATGCAGGGACCATGGCTGGAGAGACTGGGAAGCTGCCAGCAGAAGATATACTAGGTGCGGAGTTTTGTTTTGGTTGAACTGATGCAACTGAAAAGGCATCTCCGAAAAGCGAGTCAGATGCAAATCCATTTCCTGAAACTGGAACGACTTTAGGATCCTTAACATCTGGCTGGTTACCACGCAGAGTTGCATCATTTGAATTTGATGAACCTGGTGTTGCTGAATAAGTGGTCTTTTGTTGATCCTGTTGTGGAGAAGCATGATCAAATCCATCCTGACTTCTAGAATTTATAATGATATTAGGAGCTTGGGAAGTAACAGCTGCTTGGGAGCCACCATTACCAGAAAGCCAATCAGAAGAATTGGCAGGACTAAAAGCTGCCATGGTACCACCTGGCATTCCTTGACTAGAAACACCTGGTTGAGATGGGAAACTGGTGCTCGGAACTGAGGGTCGAGGAGGCCGCATATACTGGCTCTGCTGAACTGGTAAACCCTGTTGACCCCTAATGCCAAAACTTGGTGCTGCTGTTGGAGCAGCACGACTAACTGGAGGCACTGCAGCACCAGTGACTGGAGGCACTGCAGAACCAACTCTATTCGCTGGACGAGGACCTGTTACAGTTGCAAGGTTTATCTGTGGGGCAGGAATTTTAGCTGAAGCTGGCGTAAATAGTGCAGCTTTCACTATTTCTGGGGTCAACTCTCGTTTCTGCGCCACTGTAACAAGCTTAAGATAGTTGAAAAATTCCTGGCGGCTAAGGAAACCGGTACGACTTTGATCAACATATGTCCATATCTGCATAAAGGCAAAAGAACACGTGAACTGTAGTAAGAAGACATGGGGAAAATGATAGATCCAGACGTTAGACAGGAGCTGCAGATGAACATATCTGCATAAAGGTAAAAGAACACGTGAACTGTAGTAAGAAAACAAGAGGAAATTGATAGATCCAGACGTTAGCAGGAGTTGCAGATGGACTATTTACGAACTATAAATTCTTCCACATCTAGATTATCTTGCAATCTGTTTCTAGACCTGTCTTCTGGCAAGCATCATAATTGTTGTTGCACTACTTTATCAAGTATCAACAACAATAATATCTGAGTCTCACCACTCTAGCAGCCTGAACCACAGAATTATCTGCAACTTTTGTTACATTCTCAAGTGGCTCTAACACATTTTAGTAGTCGTCCTAGTTTCAAATTTCAAACTCTACTATTTACTATCTTCTATTCTAAGTTACCAGACTGCTATTCATTTTGTTATATTACTGGACATAAACGTTAAGATTTCAAAAATTATAATATGCATAGCCATTTCACTTATACTCTTTGACTAAACTTTTCATGTATCTCATATCTGCTACCTGTTTTCATATTGTTTTCGTTGGTTCCAAATATTCATCAAATGTAACAATTGTAAATTTCTCTGCTTCTTTTTACTGAATTAAACCATGTCTTTCCACCCGAAACACCCAATTCCTGCTTTGATCCCACTGTAGCAAGCATAGTAGAACAGGTATAAGCCATCAATAGCAATAAATCAAGTCATGGAAGAAGAGGTAGAAAGACGTGGCATTGCAATGAGAAGTGAGGCAAACCAACATCCATATGTTAGTTTCACTGGGTGGGGGGTAAGGTCCACCTACACTCTACTCTCCCCGCCCACTTTGTGAGATTTCACTGGGTATATTGTTAGGAGATTAACAAGTAATAGTAGCAACTGGACTTGCAACAATTCAAATCACCGAAAAGAGACGCATACTACATAATAACTTAGTAAACTGTCAATAACTAGCTTCAATTTCCTTACTTCTCCTTCACTCTAGTAGATGAAGAAGGAAGACGATAAGAGAACACAGAAGTGGACGAACGAACCTGAGCAAGGACTGGTTTAGGCAAATTGGACCCTTGAAAGAAGGCAACAGCCTCAACACCACTGATCCGACCATCCTGATCCAAATCTGCTCTGCGAAAATAAGCCTCAAATTGATCCGTTTGGTTCTGCGAAGCCATTACTGAACCGATTCAATCAGTTTGAGAATACTGAATTAGATCTGCGATAAGGAATTAGGGCAGGGAATTAGAGAGGTTTAAGAAGATCCCAGGTGGTGATCCGCCGCCGCCGGACAGTGGGCAGTGGTGGGATCGATAGGCGGAGGATCGAGAAAAGTGATGTCAGAAGTTCGATGGGGTTTGTGCTTCGGACAGCACAATGCACATAGCATTACTCTCTCTCTTTTGATTGCACCTTCACACCTTTGTTTTTTTTTTGTTTAAAATAAACTATGCTTTTTTTCGACAATATCATCATTGTGTGCTGTAAATTTTGTATTTATCTACTCAATTTCAATTTGTTTATTTAATTTTTATTTAATAAAAAAAAGGTTATATAAAAAAAATTAAATAATATAATTTTAAATTAGAGATATTATATACTAATAATACTCCACAAATAGGAAAGTAGTATGTCCAACTACCTACATATATTCTATTTTAATTTTTTATTTTCCCCTATAATCATGGATCATGTATTCATTGAGTTGAAGTTATATATGTCTTGCATAATCACTTCATCCCCAATATTTCTAGGCCTATCTTTACCCCACTTCAAGCCAACACGACCAACCTTTCGAACCTTCTTTTAGGGGATTCCAAATATCTCATCTTCATATATTCGAACCATCACAAGCTCCTTTCCGCATCTTATCTTCTACAGGGTCATGATCTCACCTCTGCCTATCCCCATTCCTAATTTTATAATTTCTAATATGTCTACACATCCATCCATCTTAACATTCATATCTTTGCTACTCTCATCTTTAGATATGAGAGCTTTTGACTGGTCAGCAATCCGCTTACTATAACATAGTTGGTTCAACTACAATTCTGTAGAACTTATCTTTAAATTTTTACAATATATTTTTATCACAAAAACACTGAATGTGAGCCTTTAATTTATCCACTCTATCCTAATACAATGTGTGACGTTCCCACTTCCCATCAATCTCTCTACTACCTTAAATTATTGACCTCAAATATACTTGAAAATTTCTCTATTCGAGAAAGGTAACTTGTGTGTCAAGCACACCACATTTATGTTCGCTTCATAAATTGCGTGATTGAATTTATACTCCAAGACTCGTTTTCTTATCTTGCTTAACTTAAAATCTTTAGACTTTAGGTTATGTCTCGAAGCCTTCAGTCTCCTATTAAAGCCCTTTTACGTTTCGTCAATCAATATTATATCATCCACAAAATATATTATCTCAAGATCTTACTTTTGTGTTTTACACCAACTTTTTCTAATAAGCATAATTTATTATATTAAATACAAATTTAAATTTTAAATTTAGACTATACCCAAAAATTTATCAAATGATACAGAGAAGAAGAGGGTGAGAAAATATATTATTAAACAAAAAAATATTTTCTCGCATGTCTTAAATATCCGTGCTATACCTATTTATTTTTATTTTTTGTTTTTTCACTCTATATTTGATATTCACATTAAAGCTAATTATTTTAAATTATCGCGTAAAACCTCTTTTGGAGAAAATCTTTTCTACTAAAGATTTATACGCGGATCTTCCCTCTACCCCACCCACCCTCCGCATTGATTACCTCCTTACCCCAACCAAAGGACCAACAAGGACACACCACTTCCTTTTCCATCCCCACCATATCGATCTCCCTCATGACCAATCATGAAACTATTTCCAATATAGCAAATCTCAAAATAGTCCGTTTTTAATATTTAATGTTACGTACTTATTTTGGAGTGTTCATCGAAAAAATCTACTCTAAATATATAATTTAATTTTCAAAAATCAAATCTGAAAATTTCTAGATACTTTCAAGTAAAAATAGTCATAATAGTCCACAACGTACCAATAAAAATAGTCAAAGTAGTCCACAATGTACCAAACGGAAACTTCCACTTATTCACCGTAAAAAGAAGTCATAAAATTCATTTCTCCAATGACATTGGTGAAATATCTCTGAATTAATAGTACTTTTTAGTCACGTATTAGTTATTCTTTTTATTTTTTATCCATAACAAATTATTTATATTTTTAATTTTATTTTAAAAATCACACTTCCGTCAATTATGAGCGATAAACTAATCAATAATAGTTTTACTAGAGTAATACAAACTTGTTTATATTATTATATATTAATTTCAAAATAAAATTATTGAGGCAATGCACACATTTATTAAAAAAATATTTAGAACATAAAATAAACATCATTTTCCACTTTTGTCCTTTTAGTTATTTTCAAACTATTCTTAAAAATAGTATAAATAACTCAAAATAAAATCATAAATATAAGCAATTTACTCTCTTGAAATTATCATTTAGAAAATATAAACAAGGGGCAAGAATGAAAAAAATACTCAACAATTCTCTTGAACTATAATAATTTACTTATTTTAAATTGTAGAAAAAAAGCTCAATAATTTAATTATTTTGAAATGAAAAAAGTAATTTTTAATTTTTTAACAACGTCAACTATAAAATATGAGACGAAAGAAGTAACAATTAATATGAGACGGAGGAAGTAATAAAAGAGAGAAAGAGCAAAAAGTGGAGCGAGTCTTGTATTGAAGGCCACATATGTTCCCTCATTAAACGCACTGTCTCGTTTCTCTATCAACCTTTTCTCTTCCCCAAAATTTATCGAGCTTTTGATATTTTCTTTGCTACTTTCTGTTAATACTCGAAACTAATAATCAAATTCGTAAACAAAGGGAACGTAGTTTTGAAATTTTCAGATCACGATTGTTTGATTCAGTTATAAACAATGTCTTGTTCATCGTCGTCGGCGTCGGAGGATGAAGATGAAGGATTCGATTCTTACCGGAAGGGAGGGTACCATGCCGTGAGAGTCGGCGATTCATTTTCCGGTGGCCGATATATCGCTCAACGAAAACTCGGATGGGGAGAGTTTTCCACCGTTTGGCTCGCTTATGATACTCAATCATCCGTGAGTTTTGTTTTCATTATTTCTTTTCGATTTTTGATAAATAATTTTATTACGAAGAGTTTATGATTGAGGTGTACTAGTTGTAGTTATCACTATTATTACAAAAATAGATGTTTGTCTCAGTTATTATGCCAGCAGCAATTGACATTTCACTGCTTTTAACACAAATGCTTGTTGCATCTGTATCATTCTGGTTATGTTAAGAAATATTTCCAATTTAATCTTCATTGAAAAATCCTGTTTGATGAAAGAATAATCATAGTATTGTAATTAGCATTATTGATTATGTTCTTGACAGACACGACAATGAATATGCATGGCTTCTTTACAAGTATGCGAGAGTCGTTACACATCATCAAGTGTTAGGACCTTGATCATAAGCATGATCCTGTGTACAGTAAAATTAATGTTTGAAGTACCTGTCAATTGTTTGAGATGACTTCCATTCTCCACTCATGAATCATGATCCCTTATAATGGTGCATTGCTTGTAATGTTTTCCTCACAACAAGGGCATGAGAACAATGTTCCCTTATAATGGTGCGTTGCTTGTAATGTTTTCCTCACAATAAGGGCATGACTCAGTTCAAGAATTTTGTAGTGTTTGCTTCTTTAGGTGACTTTGTTTTGTGATAAAAAGCATTGGTCTTTGGGAAATTGGGAACAACTTTGACCTGAATTGGAGTCAGTTGGGTAGATGGTAGAATGACTTTTTGAGATTAAATATCAATCTATTAGCAGCACCTGCTGTAGGTGTTCAAGAACAACCTCTTATTTTGATTAAGCAGTTAAGTGCAATTGATGTTCTTCATGGTTTATTTGCTTTGAATTTTTAGTGATAATTAGCCGTTTTCTTAGCGCTGAAATGTTTCAGAAACCCTTTCTCTATAAAATTAACTTTAGCAATAATTTTCGTAGATTTCCTTTTATTGGTTTGGAAGTTCATAAGGATCTTTAAGAACTTTAATTTAGTATGTTTGTTTTCTCATAGGGTTTTGTTGCCTTGAAGATCCAGAAAAGTGCACCACAATTTGCTCAAGCAGCTCTTCATGAAATTGAAGTCCTTTCTGCGATTGCCAATGGTGATCAATCTAACAGTAAATATGTTGTACGGCTTATTGACCATTTTAAGCACACAGGCCCTAATGGACAGCACATATGTATGGTTTTTGAATTTCTTGGTGATAGCTTATTGCGGCTTATCAAGCATAATCACTATAAGGGCCTTGAACTGAACAAAGTTAGGGAGATATGCAAATGTGTTTTGACTGGTTTAGATTATTTGCATGGGGGGCTTGGAATTGTTCATACAGATTTGAAACCTGAAAATATTCTTTTACTTACCACGATTAATGCCACAAAAGATCCCATTAGATCCGGAATGACTCCCATACTTGAAAGGCCTGAGGGGAACCCTAATGGAGGAGTAACAATGAATATCATTGAGAAAAAGCTAAAGCAAAGGGCAAGAAGAGCAGCAGCTAGGATATCAGGAAGACGTTCTTCAATGGGTGGGGTAGGAGGGACTCCAAAATCAAATAGATCTCTTGATGGGATAGACTTGAGGTGCAAGGTTGTGGATTTTGGAAATGCATGCTGGGAGGATAAGCAATTTGCACAAGAAATTCAAACAAGACAGTACAGATCCCCTGAAGTTATACTTCAATCTGGATATTCATTCTCTGCTGACATGTGGTCTTTGGCTTGTATAGCATTTGAGCTTGCTACTGGTGAGATGATGTTCACTCCCAAAGGTGGAGAAGGTTTCAGCGAAGATGAGGTAAGATGATTTCATCTGTGTTTCTTTGTTTAGCTGTCCTTTCATTGCATAATGCAACCCGTTTCACAGTAAAAAAAAAATAATCTGAATAAGTGTTATGGAGTATTTTTCTGATTTGAGGTCTGTTTTTTTGGGTGTAAGGTGGAGTCCACCTAGTGTTGAAAGAATTCTGTCCAATAGATTTTACTTCCTGAAGAGGAATTATTTTATAACTTCACTTGACTATATTTTGTTATCATTTTGGCGGGTTGCAGGATCATCTAGCTATGAAGATGGAGCTTCTAGGAAAGATCCCTCGGAAGGTGAGCACATTATATTGTTTTTGTAGCCTTGAAGAATTATTTCTGAAAATAGCTGCTGATTTTATTTTTTTACAAACTTATGGTGGAGCAGATAGCCGTAGGTGGGGCTAGATCCAAAGATTACTTTGACAGGCACGGAGATTTGAAGAGGATCCGTAGACTGAAATATGGTTGTCTAGATAAATTACTAGTTAACAAATATAGATTTTCTGAAAGTGATGCTCATGAGTTCACGGAATTTCTCAGTCCTCTTCTTGATTTTGAGCCAGAGAAACGACCAACTGCTGAGCAGTGCTTGCAACACCCATGGCTCAACTTTAAAAATCAAAAGCAAACAGAGGTGAAGAATGAATCAGGTGTGGAAAGGGTTAATATCGGTATGAGCAAGCTACAAATTAAGGTGGGTAAGTGATGTTGGGATGAATAGTCTTGTCACTGCTTATGTCCCACTCTCCACCTGTATCAGTGCCACTTGTGATTTAATTTTTTGGATTGTTTTAGTTTCTTAGTAAGATTTGATTCATTCATTAGTAGTTTTGGATGATCATGATGGGGAAATGACTTCCAAAAGAGAAATTGACCTCACTCCAGATTCATGGTTCTAGTGAAGTTGACTGTCATTGAAGGAATGATTCCTTCTTTCCCATGATAAAGTAGTTGCCCGTGCTCTTTTGAGGGACCTGAGGAAACAAAGCAAGCTCCACAATGACTGCTATATTGCATCATTTGAACTCAGCATTATTATCCACCAAGGCGAGAGACTTTAGCTGCCTGAGAAGGTTTGCTTTTCAAGTCACTCTGGAGAAGTATTGAGTAGCCATACGAAAAGGAGAAAAAGGAGGGTTGCTTTTGTATACTCAACATTAGAAGGGAACAGCCTCGCTAGTGATGCAAAAGCTGGAAAAGGATTTCTAACTCATGATGAAGTCCCCTATGACAAGACATAAAATTTTTGTATACAGGATTTTGAAATTTTGTAAGTTGTATCCATTTCTTTTAGCTAGCAATCTAACTTCATCACAAGTGTATTCAACATATCTTGTATCTTTGACAAATGTGGAAACGAAACTTTTGTGATTTTGACCAAAAGAGAATGATATGAAACAATTATTTTCAGTAGGCTTGGTTTTAGTTTTGCTCGTACGATTCATCTTAGGATATGAAAAAGTAGTTATATTGTTGTCATTTACCATGAAAAACAATGTTATATTAAGAGAGAAGCACAATTTATAGTAGGGACACATTGTGTTGGTATCCCATTATGACCACCATGTGCCTCTCCACCCAAACCTTAGGGAGTGTGAAGGTCCAGAGTCAGAAAAAGTAGAAGAAAATATAACTTTTCATCAATAAAATGTAAAGCAACATCTATTTACCTATAGTGATTAGTGCTTCCCAAGGAGTGTATATTTTGAGTTTGACAACATTAATTGTATCTCTAAGTAGGTATAAATAGATAAATAAACTTACAGAAATAGTATGATTGGATCTGTAATCAGATTAAATACATTTATTTGTTGAATCTGGATACCGTGCTCTAGATCCAAATCATCTTTCAATGTCATGAATTATGCTTGGTAGGTAGCAAATTTCCTGGATGATCGCGCAGACTGAAATGCAATTTTCCACTCACTTGAAAACACAATGAAGTCTGCTTCAACTCCTCAACAATGAGAGAACATTCTCAAGGCAACAATGCATCTCCAAACATAATTGCAACTACAAAAATAAATAAATAAATAGAATAGCAACATCAAGAATCAATCCATCAATTATTCTTCACCCAAAAATTAGTTGGCCTGCTATACTGATCCTCATTCCTCTGTATTTATTATACTCTAGTCTATCCATATCAAAGTTATTGTTCCAACACAAATGAAAACAAAGACACGAGGAGTTAAGAGTTCCTTCTCTTTTGCTTATGTGGGGGTGGGTGGAGGCGAGAGAGCATCAAGGTTCAAACCCACAAGCAGAAAGCAGAAAAATAACCCAACAGACGAAAAAAATCAAGCAAATTCAGGTCAGTTCAAGATTTTCCAACCTTCCAATATCAAAAACAGAGGACTTGTACATAATTCACCATAATACAGGATAAAAGTGTGTGTAGTTAATGAAAGGATAACAGTAACAAGCAGTTTAAGCATTTAACACTTACACTTAACTTCAACTGACCTCAGTATCACAGCCTCAATTTGTTTAGCTAGTAGTGTGTTTACTTTTGAATTGGCTGCCACTGTTACTGTTAAGTTCATGCTAGAGTTAAGTTCAACTTCAATGAATGTTGCAAAATTTAGTGGAATGGAATTTCAGGTAAATGGCAATTTTATCAAATTCCAGAGACTGGCTGTGATGAAAATTTAAACAAAGATCCTTAACTTACCTGGTAAATGATCTTGAAGCTTGAGAATAAATGTTGCAGATCCAATCCCAGTTTTGAATTTGGTCAGCATAGTTGTGTAGTAATTGATAACTGATTTCAGGCATGACCTGCAAAAGGCGTGGTCAAAGACTCAAAATCAATGTTACCGATGAAAAAGAGTTTCGAGTCTTTCCTATAAGCCAAGCAGCACAAGGCAAATCTATTTCACATTAGATGACCATAAACGTACCATTTCTTGCTAGGAATCAAGATAGGTTGTTGTCCTCTTTTGTCCAGATAGGACCTGATAATTCACTAAGTTACAGACTCCACGTTGAAATGACACATCAATGAGTTTTAAGACAATCATTACCTTCTCACACAGTTCTTCCAAACAAATTCGCTCATCATAATCCTTTTCTTCAGTAATATCACAAAACTACAATACAAAAGAAGTCACGAAAAAACATCCAAGATATGGCTAAGGTACTCAACTGTAATCTCTGGACAAAAGTGCCTCCAATTTGTCCCAGAATCTAAGATACTTGTGTTTTTGTTGGTGCAAATTTGAATAAAAATAGCAGGCATGACAATTCTATCACAAGATCAGAACATAAGCAAGATGGAATTTGAGTGAGACTATGACACTTAGAAAAAGACATTGTAATCTCTAATGTTTTCATGAATATTAAGACTGCAAAGATCGAATCTCCCTCCTGACAAGCACTGTCTAGTCAGTTTCTTTGGCTGCAGGAGAAGGAAGCTCAAGAGTAGCTTTGAAACTCTGGGCCCTGCATCTATTTTTTTTCTTGATCTCATAGTTCACAGGTATATCGGTAAAGAGGAGCAGGGAATGGGATAGCAATAGATGAGGAGGAAACTTCCTCCACTCATCAAAGAAAAATAAGAATTTTGTCACTTCGTCAGAGCCTATTCTAGCTTTTCCTTAATCCTCTCATTCTAATTAATGATTTCTACTATTTGTTAGAACATTAGAGTAGTGTTAAATGTTCAAATTAAGTTACTTCCTCTAAGATCAAAGTCATTAATACATTTCCCTCTTTTATTACTTCAAAGAAGAGAAAAGATACTAACTCAGTAACTCTAACCTGAAGGAGGTAAAAGTTGATACCTTTTGAAACAAAGGATACATGGAAAACTATCCTTGAACCTCAAGTCTCTAGAATAATGTCAAAGACCAACAGTGTTGGCATATTTAATAGGTCAAAGCTATGCTTCCAACCTCCACAGCTGAAGAGTGAAAATCAACCTATACGATTAGTAATAATGATGTTTAGCCTGTTTTAAATTTATTTCACCCGCATTAGATTTTCAAAAAGATTTACGTGTTTTGGAATATTTTACACAAAAAACAACACAAACCAATTCTTTGATTTCCTTAAAAAAGAAAAGATTTCTTGAATTTCTTAATATTTGCAGTGTCAATATATTGTTGAAAACAACAATTTCCTATGAATACCACCAATGTAACTTCAAAAAAATAACCTTTTCTTGAACATTTCTTTAAAACCAATGCATGTAAGAAAATTTAACAACAATGAGCAGATTGATCAATTTAGGTTTACTGGAATCAAACTGGAAATTTCTGTTTTTCTTCATTATCTTGTCTGCAAGATACAAGTAAGGAAAATAAACAAGACAGTCTTTTTGAAACAAAATTCAAATTCCCTGTGTAAACTGCATTACTGACTTGAAAAATTTGTCTTACAAATTCTTGAACATCCTATAACTACAATTTCTTGATTTCCTTAAAACATTCATTTAAGAATACTAATGTAACTTCAAAAAGACAACAATCTCTCTATTGTTTTTCTTAAACAATAATTCCTAGATAATCTTACCATGAGTTCTCGATAATGGGAAGAGCAGTGCATGATCGGGAAAATTTATTTGGGGATTAGGTTTTGATCGTCACCGGAGAGCGGCGGCAATGCAGTGGAATACTCATTCTAAGTTGCGCCGGTGATGGTGAGTTCTAAAATGAGGGAAGGCAGCGTACTTTTATAGGTTCAATACACGCGTAAGAAAAAATATTTTTGGAAATTTCTATTTTACTACTTTATTTATATTTTACTAACAAGTAGAGTACATTTATTTTTCTTCTTTATCCTTTTGATTTATTTTTCAAAGAACAATCTCTTTTTATACAATTTTTAATTTCACCAAATATGTTTAAGATTATAAGATTAAAAAATATTTAAATATATTTAAATATTTTTAATTTAAGATCATACGATTTAAAAATCATCTCTGTATTTTTGGATTTCATGTCAAATCAAAAGCAAATAAACAAATAAAAATGTGAAGAATATAAATTCAACTTCATTTTTTTATTATATTATTAATGAGATGATTTAAACCACATAAATATCTATATATTTAGACCATAATTATTTATTTTTAAAAAAAAATTATTCAAAAACTTTTCACCTCGTTGATTGTAGTAATAGGGCCCACAAAGACAAGTTAAACGTCACACGTACAGTCTTCATTGGCTGATTGATCGTTGATGTTACTATGTAACCCGCAAGTAATATTAGTTATTTTATTTTCTCATCCTTTATATTAACTTATTATTAATAACATGAATACATGTATGGTCAATAATCAACTAACTTATTTCACCTTCTATTTCGCATAAATTATACATAATTTTTTTATAAGTCATGTAAGTATTAATTATATAGAGTTACTGAAAAATATGACCAAACATCATTTAATATTAATATATGAATATTTTTTATACAATATTTAGAAACCTACCAATCAAACATTGTATAAAATTACTACATGAATAAATTTTATATAACATTTGAAAATCTACCAATCAAACATCGTATAAAACTAATAAATTGATAACTTTTATCCTATTTGCAAACCAATTGTTGTATGAAATTAATAGGGAAAATGGTCTGAAAAATACTTCAACTTTGGCCAAAATTGTTGTTACGATACCAAACTTTATGGAGGACATTTTACCCCCTTCACTATTTAATAGTGTATTTTAAAGGTGTATATGTGCCCACGTGGACATGTTACTATTTATAATTATGCAATATTTATGATGTCCACGTAGGCATATATATATACCTTTAAAATATGCTATTAAATAGTGTAGGGGAGTAAAAGGTCTTTTTCAAAGTTCGGCATCGTAACAACAATTTCGATCAAAGTTTAAATATATTTCAGACCTTTTTCCCAAACTAATATATGAATGACAAAGTTATTTATATATTAGGTGTAGTGAAAATTAGCTACCAGACGATTCCTGAATGTATGCTAATTTACAACAAACCAAACAATTAATTAATATATATATATATATATTCTACTATTATATAAGAGGAAATTTGGTCAAAGCAAGAAGAGTTTGCTTTGACAAATTTGAAAGTAGAAAATAATACATAAATTTCTACAAAACCATTCATTTTCTTCATAACATGTGACCCCCTTTTCCTCTCTATTTGACACCTTTTCAATTTGCCATGCATTTAATTACAATAATTAATAATTTAAAATACTTTTACTATATCTAATAAGTCTACTACATA